AGTGCTGTTGAGATCTGGCGTTGACGGGGACCCGAAGAAGATCGTCCTCGCAACCCTAAACCCTAAACCCTAAGCCCTAAACCCTAAAACCAAAAAAGGCATGAAGAAAAAAGAGCCTCAGCCCAGAGCGCTAAGCCCTAGGGTTTAGGGTTTAGGTACTCTGAGCCCTAAACCCCGAACCTCAGTGGGTCTAGGGTTTATAGGGTTTAAAGTGCTGAACATCTGGCTTTCTCGCGAGTCGCAGGCATTCATTTACGCACTGGGCCCCGTACTGTTTGTCTGGATGGGTCAATTGTGACGATTCAGGTCTTCTTAGTGCTAGAGCCAGTTCAGTACCCTCAAGTGTGACTCCTGTTCTGGGGGCCTCGATCTGTTCAGGCCTCGAATACGCTGCATCCAGGAGTCTCCACATGAACACCCTCTTGCCAAGGGCCTAAACTCTCAAACTGGCGAATCCCAGTGACAGCCGATAACTGAACTAAAACCCTAAATCCTGATAAAATGGTTTGGGGCACATTAGTCGCCAAGTCGCCACTCGCCCGAATAGGTCTTGCCATCCGTCCATCGCTGGAGCCCGGTACCCTGGCGCATGTACCTTCCCAACGGGCTTTCTTGTATTTGCAAGAACGCCGTATGCATGCCGGATGGATGTTTGGAAACGGATGGATGCTGATGGATTGATGCAGACGTACCGGAAGCCCGACACCTTGAAATCCGGACACTACAGCCCAGTGCCGGACCCTTGAGGCATCCTAGCATTAGCCGGGCAAGGCACACGCCATCCAGTTGCGGATGATCCTCGCAAAGGCCAGTGCCGGATGGTTTTCGCACGGGGACAATCGATACATGCAGATACCTAAACCTTTAAACCCCAGCCCGAGCACCAGCATCACCAGCGGCTGTGTTGGGGTTTGGGTGGTTGCATCAGCAACCCTGAACCCGAAAGTGGTGGTGGTCTAGTGGTGGCTAGGACGACATGTGCCGGCTTGAATGACAGTCGGATTCTGATTGAAAGGCATTTCATGTGGTGTCCGACCTAAGTACTGTAGGAGCCTTATAATTCAAAATTAGAATAGGATTTGGGGGCCCATTATACTAACCATAAATATAAAAAACACCCAAAAATAGTATTAGGTAAGTATTCAGGCCCCTACATTACCAAACATCCACTTGCTTTCTCTGAAGATCTCTGAAGCATGCGACAGGGCCTCCTCCACGATACCAACTGAGCAAGCACCCAACAAAAACAAAGCCCCGGCCGTTGACGAAACCGCACTGCTCTTCTCATTGTCATGCTTTCCCTCTGTCACCCTAAACCCCATATTATATATATATATATACTGTATATATATATATATATACTGTATATATATATATATACTGTATATATATATATATAATATAGCCTAGCTTAACCCTCCACCTGGACGACAGCTCGATCCAGGATCCCTCCTTAAGCCCCAAATGCCTAACAAACCGCCGCTCCCCCGGGGTCCATGATTCTAGGGTTTAGGGTTCAGGGTTTAGGGTTTAGGGTTCAAGGTTCAGGGTATAGGGTTTAGGGCCCGGGGTCCATGATTCTGCCCTGGTAGAAGCGGACCCACTCTTGCGCCGTGTCCTTAGCGCTTGGCCATTGCTAACTGTCAAGGTTTACCATAAGGGGACTCGTTTAGCTGTTCCTTTTCAGGGTTTGTTTCTATAGTGTACTGTAAGGATGTTCAGGTTTGGGGTTTTGAAGTTTGGGGGTTTAGGAACAGCATTCATGGCTCCAGCATCAAACAGAAGAGCCAGCCCATAAGAATCGAGGCCTGCTGTCGTCGCCACTACTAGATACTAGCCGAAAAACCTGGAACCATGACCCGCATGCCCTAAACCTGAGCCCGGAATCCTGAAACAGAACTTCGGAATTGTTCTGGCCGGGAAGTGCTTCCAAAATTATGATAAGGTTCGCTCGATCCTGCAATCAAGCAACACGAAAAGCTGACAATCCAACTACAGTATAACCGACCGCTCGTCCGTACGTTTCTTTGGCGGAGGGGGTTACCAGGCGCCGCTAGAACCACTTGCACATGATTCTTGCACCTAGGTTATAGTCTTCCCCCGCCACTGCCGGTAGTACTCGGAGGGTCGGGGGACTTAGTAAATGGTTACTTTATAGACTTATAAGTACTATAACCCTAATTAAGGCCCCTTTTAGGGTGCTTATAAGTCTACTTACTACCTACTTACTAAGTCTCCCGACCCTCCAAGTACCAGCACTGCCCTTCCAGCTGATCACGAGGATTGAAAACCAAAGGACTAAGGCCCCGACCATGCCACAGTCTTTGATCACCTCATACGACACGGTGCAGGGGGCAGTAAGCAGTCAGTAATGCAGCTGCCTTAATAAAATTAGAATAGGGTTTGGGGCCCATTATACTATACTTTTGATGAGGAACCCCCAAAATAGTATTGG